ACACTACTCCCTCCCCTCATGCACCTCAGCTCATTCTTCAGCAAATGCCTGACAACATATCATCTCACCTATAAACACATCATATACTCAGCTAACTTTAAAAAGCAATTTTATAAAGCTGAAGGCTACACAGGACTGTGATCATATTATTATATAGCAGAAATATGACTGGTTTTTCCCTCTATTTTTCAAGAATTTCTTTAATATTAATATATTGTTAATACTCGGTGTCTAAGAAACTATAAAATTACACATTAATTAGAATATTCCCTGACTGTGGCACTGTAGGATAAGCACTGGACTGCTAATAGCAAGGTTGGCAGGTCAAACCCACCAGCTGTTTCTCAGAAACTCTACACAGAGTCACTATGAGTCAGAACTGACTCCACTGCACTTTACAACAACAACAACCATATAAAAACCTTATTAAATAACCTAAGAACTCCAAAAACTAAAATTTACAATACATACTGGAAGTAATTTATTGTTTTCTGGAAGTGAATTGGCAAGATTCTCCAACCCATCATAATCCTCTAACATATAATAACATTCAGCTAAGCGTTCCTGGTTCCGACCTTGTACATAATATTGCACAGCATTCAACCTATGGAGAGAAAAAAAGAAACAATTTTAAATTAATATGAATCTCCTATAAATAAGCACTTTCACCAAAAATACTCCTTTACTTGAAGCATATAAATTGGAGGCAGGCAATCAAAATATTGAAGCATATTTTAGTTGTAACATCCTTTGAATATTCAAATGAAATATTGTTAAATCTTATGTAGTTGCAGCATTCCCTAACAATAATATAAAGATAGGTATATTGATTAAAATTAAAACAATGAAAGTCAATCACTGCTAAAAATAATCCATAAACACAAAACAAATACAAAAAATTTTTTTCAGTAATAACTATATAAAGTCTTAGAATTGTATATTGTGAGCTCAAACAATTCCAATTTGCCTGGAGTTACAGTTAAGCACAAGTTTTGGTGAGTCTGGAAACCCCAAAGTTTTACATTACAATTTTAAGGATCTCTTTCTCAACACTGTGAATTTAGAGCGATTTGAATTCTAGGATTAAGGAGAATGGTCTTCAGTTCCTTAGCATTATGTCACAGAGTAGTGCTCAGGTAGCTACAATGTATACTTCTGCCAATGAATAGAAGTTGTGGGACAGATAGGCTACATACCACTTTTGTCGATCAGCAAAGTAGTCTCCAATGGCATTGTGGGCTTGCTCCAGGAGACTGTCATCTGCATCACCAGATCCAGTTTTCAAGAGTTGGAGGACTCTAAACCAATCTCCCAATTTCAGCCGGAGGCCAATAGCAAGATCTCTACAAACAATGGCATGCATTCATTCATTTCACAAATAGTTATTAAGTTCCTACTTCACACTAGTCACAGTTCTAAGTGCTAAGAACACAAAGCAATGAATCAAAGAAATATGTTAAAACTTCAGGTAAAGAAGTAATGGAGAGTTTTTAGGATGGAAAAAAGGAAACAATTTTCTGCCTTCGACTTTTCCATAACTTCTAATTACTTTTCACAAAATAACAATTTAAGTAATAATTATTTATTTTCACCAATTTCTTAGAGATGATGAGATTTATTACAAAACAAAACAGCACAACGATAAGCTTGGTTTTAAATACTATTCAGGGCTTAATTATTCTATTAAGAATTAACTGTAAATACAAATAATACTAATAAAATTAAGCATAGTAATATTTAGTTATGACATT